CTTCTGGGGGAGGGGCCTGTTGCCGTGGTTCCCAGTGTCTTTGCCGGAGGCGGAATTGCCCCGCCCTTGCCCCGCCCTTGTCCCGCCCTTGTCCCGTCTGGCCTAAGTAATCTGCTCGGGTTTGCTCTCAGGAGCTTTTGTTCCCTGCAAGCTTTGTGTACAGCTTCGGAGGCCTGGAGGACGAGAGTGAAAATGGCGGCCTCCCAATCTCCACCCCAAAGGAGCCGAGAACTTGGGGCCCCGCTCCTCAGTGAGCCCCCAGAGAAAAGCCGTCAGTCACTCCCGTCTCCCCGGTCTCTGGCCGCACTCTGTGCTCAACCGGCCTGTGACCGAACGTTTCTATCTCTGGCATCCGACTCCATGTGGAGTCTCCAAACCCAGCAGATCCCTGCAGTGTGCTCCCGCGCCGCTCCTCCCAGGGGAGGAAGGGGAGTCTCCCCGGATCTGCCGCTTGTTGGGTCCCTGCTGGAAGAGCAGTGGCCCGACTGTGCCGCGGATCACAGTTTATAGCAACCCCGAGCTGAGAGCCTGCGCCTCGGCTCCATCTGCAGCCGGCTTCTCCGCTCCGATACCTGGGTGCTCTGCCGCAACTCAGGCACCCCCGGTCTTTCTGTGACCCCAAGGGTCCTGAGACCACACTCCCACGAGGGTTCCACCCCCCGCTTAGCCACTGGAGCGACGTCCCTTAGCGGAACCGACTTCTAAAAGTTCTGATTTTGTGCTCCCCGGCCCTATCACTTGCCAGAAGTGGCTGATGGAGGCCCCCTCCCCCACCATCTGTCCTCCCGACTATCGCCTCGGATTCACTTCTTTGCACATCCTACCTTCCAGAAAGTGGTCGCTTTTCTGTTCAGAGAGTTGTTGCTATTCTTTTCTTCGATCTCCTGTTGAGTTTGTAGGTGTTCAGAGTGGTTTGATCCCTATCCAGCTGAATTCCTGAGACCAGAAGAAATCCAGGTCTCCTACTCCCCCGCCATCTTGCTCCGCCCTTCTATATACCTTTCTGATAAGACTTTAGTCGATCATTTAGTCCATTTTATCTTGTTGCAGTAAATGTCTTTAGTAGACTGCTGGTATATGAAGAACATGGTAAATAGCTTATGTGTCTGTGTTGTTGCTGTCATAGGTGGGTCCGGTTTTTAGTCCAACAATTCGGTATATTCTGATACCTTCACCTCTAAATTACAGTTTTTTATTTGACAGAGTATGGTTTTTGAGGCTTCTACAAAGAATGAAACCATTGCCCAGGAGGATAAAACCAAATTGTTAAAAGCTGCTTTTCTGCAATACTGCAGGTATGAAAAGTTTTTAAATGATGGCTTAATTTATTTTATGTCTGAGGACACATTTTACTGATATATACTACTTATTTGTGGACTGGTGGGAGCAAGATGGAGGAATGATGCCACCAAAGAGAAAATGTTTTTCTGAGCTTCTCAGTGCTTTAACAAACTTAGTCTGAACTTGGTAGCCACAAGAGGCTTCCAGTTAATCTAGGAAAAACATGATGTAACATATCCTCTCCACTTAATGGATAACAATGTGCTGTTAAAAATAGTGATCATGAAAGACATCTAGCAAGCATGTTTTATGTATACTCTGAAGGCAAATAAGTTGCATACAAAGGTTTATTGATGTTATAAAGAAAATAGACTTGGCCTATTCATTGGGTTTTGTTGCATACAAAATCACCAGAGAACATAGTGGCTCGTTTAATACAGCTCATGATTCTGCCGTCTGGCTGTTTGGGGTTGGGCTCAGGTGGCCATTTTATGTTTCTCATCTGGATTCACTGTCCATGATCAGCTGCCAGCCATCCCGGCTAGACTTGCTCACATTTTGGGGGCTCTGGTCATTTCTCTGCTCATGTGCCCTGTCATCATCTAGCAGGTTTACATATCTCAGGGTTCCAGGAGTTGCAAGAGAGTAAGCCTCAGTGTACAAGTGCTTTTCAAATCTCTGCTTGGGTCATATTTGCCAATATCCCATTGGCCATAACAAGTCACAGGGGCGAGCCCTCCCTCTCCCTCCATGGGAGGGTGCTGATAGGGAGTGTGCATATGGAAGGGGAATGATACTCAGTTTGCTACACTTGCTGACCTGATGCTTCTGGTTTGAAAGCCAATTCAGTCATTTGTTTGTCCTAGACATTTATTCTGCATATCCTGTACCTTCCTTAAAAGGTATAGTAAATTCACATTTGAATGAACACTAAGGAAAATTGAGATCTAGCCTTTGCTGTGCCCCAAGTAGCTGTGTGAGACTTTGGACAGATTGCTTAACATTTCTGGAATTTTGTTTCTTCCTTTGTGAAGTGTTGAGTGGGGTGTCCGTTGGACTGTCTGAAGGATCATTAGTTTATCTGGCAGATCTTTGTTTTAAAGTTATATTCACAGTTTACTACCTCCATATCCCCCAGTTCTCAGCTTGTGATCCCATAGTCTCCCACTCATAGTGGTATTTGATGCATAGGAGCTCACTCCCACAGAAGGGATAGCCAGTAAAGTTTTACAGTTCTGTGCCATCGGGGCGCCTGGGTGGCTTAGTCAGTTAAGTGTCTGCCTTTGGCTCAGGGCATGATCCCAGGGTCCTGCAAACAAGCCCCGCATCAGACTCCCTGCTCACCGGGGAGTCTGCTCCTCCCTCTCCCTCTGCTCCTCCCCCTGCTTGTGCACTCTCTCTCTCTCTTTCAAATAAATAAAATCTTAAAAACACACACACATAATTCTGTGCCATCATAATGATCTACTGAGCTTAGTTTCTTATCCAGAAGAGGGCACCATTAGACAATTTTTTTTATTCTGTTTTTAAAATATATTCTTTTAGGGGCGCATGGGTGGCTCAGTCGTTAAGCGACTGCCTTTGGCTCAGGTCATGATCCCAGGGTCCTGGGATTGAGCCCCACATCGGGCTCCCTGCTCCGTGGGAGGCCTGCTTCTCCCTCTCCCACTCCCCCTGCTTGTGTTCTCTCTCTCGCCGTATCTCTCTCTGTCAAATAAATAAGTAAAGTCTTAAAAATATATATATATATTCTTTTAATTTTGCTCTCTTGCATGGTGTTCAGTCTTACTGCCAAGATTTGGATTAAAATACTATGATCCTGTCTTGCACAAGTTGGTCCTTTAACAATTTTGACAGACCTGTGGCATCTCAGAATTTAAATGATCATGGAGCAAGTTACTGTAGTCCTTGTATTAGTTTCCTGTGGCTGCTGTAACAAATCACTACAAACCAGGTGACCTCATAGAAATTTATTCTGTCACAGTTCTGGAGTCCTGAAATCCAAAATCAAGGTATCAGCAGGGCCCTGCTTCCTCTGAAGGCTCTAGGGAAGAATCTTTGCTTGCTTCTGTCCTAGCTTCTGGTGGTTGCTGGCAATCATCAGCATTCCTTAGCTTGCACATGGATCACTCCAGTTGTCTCCCTTACCACATGGCCTTCTTCCCTATGTGTCTGCCTTTACATGTCCTTCTAATAGTGACACCAGTCATTGGATTTAGAGCCCACCCTAATTCAGTATAACTTCATCATAACTGATTATATACTCAAAAACCTTATTTCCAAATAAGGTCACATTCTGAGGTTCTGGGTGAATGCGATTTGGAGTGATGCTATTCAACCCCATATAGTCATTTCTAAATGTTCTATAGGGGAAGATTATTAAGCAGGAAGAGGAATCCCCTGACCTGAAGTCCTGAGAGTATAGTAACCTTAGGAATAGGGTCATGGGTCTCTAGCACAGCTATGCCTTCAACTTACCCTGTAAGGTTAACAAGTAACCATTTCTGGGGTGGTGTGAATCTATTAATAGTCTTAAAGAATTGGACTCTTCAAAAGTGGAATCATACTTTTAAAGCAGGGTTTTGCTACCTCATCACTGTTGACATTTGAAGCCATACAACTTTTTATTGTGAGCTATCCTGTGAATCATAGAATGTGTAGCAGCCATCGCTGGCCTCTTCCCACTTGGTGCCAGTAGCATCCTCCCCCAACTGTTGACTACCAAAATTATCTTCAGACATTGCCAAATGCTCCCTGGGGGTTGAAATGAGTAGATTGCACTCAAAAATGTTCTGTGTTTAGTTTTTTGCTGAGGTTAATACTGCTATTTCTATGGCATGGTTTCTTTGAAATTAATTTTTATATTATTTTGATTTTCACTTGACTCAATATAAATATAAGATCTTTTGCTCATGAGAGCTTTAAGAAACTTATTCTGTTAATTGAAATAGTTAATTATTGATTATCATGCTATAGTCAACTTTGTATTCCCATAACCTGTAGCATAATCAGGTTTCTAGCTTCAGCTTGGCCTAACACTTTTAGGTGGTTTTTCTATGTTTCTCTATTCAGTTCCTTCTCTTGTTCTACCAAGAGTCCATTTCAATGCTTTCCTAACTCTCCTCCACCTTTTTCATTTCTCTGCCTTTTCTCCCATACCTAGCAAGAGGACTCAGCCTCCTACTTCACAGAGATAATAGAAGCCATCAGATAGCAACTCCCTGGACTTAATACCTACAAACTTACCTGAGCCTCAGCTATTTCTCCTCTTTTGCTCCCTATAAAGTAGGAAGGGGTGTTCTTTCTAAGAAGAATCCCTGTCTTTTTTGGTTGTTTTAAAGATTTTATTTATATATTTAGAGAGAGAGTGTGTGCACGAGCGAGCAGAAGGGAGGGGGAGAGGGAGGGAGAAAATCTCAAGCAGATTCCCTGCTGAGCACAGAGCCTGACATGGGGCTCGATCTCACAACCCTGAGATCACGACCTGAGCTGAAATCAAGAGTTGGATACTTAACTGACTGAGCCATCCGGGCGCCCCTCTTTGTTCTTGTTTTGAATGCCACAGTCTTCTGCTTCTCTTGAGACTATGTTCTTTGTTATTCCTCTTCTGTATCTTTGACCTCTCTTGTGCTGGCTTCTTCTCACCAGCCATTAATCATATTTACTGTTTCATTTAAAAAAAGAAAACAGGGGCAGGGCGCCTGGGTGGCACAGTCGGTTAAGTGTTTGACTCTGAGTTTTGGCTCAGCCTGTGACCTCAGGGTTGTGAGATGGAGCCCCCTTTTGAGCTCCATGCTGTGTGCTGAGTCTGCTTGGGTTTCTCCCTCTCCCTCGGACCCTCCCCCCACTGTGATCTCTCTTTCTCTCTCAAATAAATAAATCTTAAAAAAAAAAGACCAGTCTTTGACTTTGTGTCCCCCTTTGATCTACCACCCCTTTTGTTTGTTCCTGTTTATAACGAAACTGCCTGAAAAGTTGTCTACCTTTGCTGTTGTCTATCATAATTTTTCTCTCTACTCCCTGATTTTTTTCTCCTTCCTTGACCTCATTTGCCAAAGAAACACTGATCTACCATGCTCTAGGCCATTATATACAAATGAAGAATGTTCCAAAGCAGTTGTATATTCTACAGGCATCTCAGTTTCAACATATCCACAGCCCTGCTTGTCTTCTCCGAAGCGTATTCTTTTCTTTTTTACCCCCTGTTTCTGCCACTGGCAAATATGTCCTACCATAATCCAGTTTCAGAGCAAAAATATATCAGATCCAAGCAGTTGCCAGTATTTACCTTATATCTCTTTTTTTTCCCAAACCTGTCACTTGTCTCCATTCTCCTCTGCAGCTATTGCTGGTGGAGACTCCCTTCTCTTGTCTGAATTTCTGCAATAACTTCTTAACTGGGTTTTTCTCGCTCCTGTCCAATCCCCTATTTCCTTATCATAAAATGATCTTTTGGGAAAAATAGAACAGATCGTGACACTTTCTTCTTAGTGCCTGAGAAGTGCCTTCTTAGGCCTTCTAGTGCCTAGAACTCCATAACATGGTGTATGAGGTTTTATGTACTCTGTCGTTTTTTGTTTTTTTTTTTTTAAAGATTTTGTTTATTTATTTGACAGAGGGAGACACAGTGAGAGAGGGAACACAAGCAGGGGGAGTGGGAGAGGGAGAAGCAGGCCTCCCGCAGAGCAGGGAGCCCGATGTGAGGCTCGATCCCAGGACCCTGGGATCATGACCTGAGCCGAAGGCAGGCACTTAATGACTGAGCCACCCAGGCGCCCCCTCTGTCGTTTAATTGGTGGTGTTTCTGAGAGTCTGCCCTGGAAGCCTTCTTCCCTCTTTCTTTCCTGGGCGATCTCATCCTCCCCATGGCTTCAGTTCTTTGCTAAGATATGGACATACTTACTCACATGTGTGACGTGTGCTCTCTGCCACCGTGTACCCCTCCCCATAGTCCCCTCAGCCTCGCTGCTCCTCTTCCTTAGCTGTAGGCCTCTGCTTATGCACCTCTTCCTCC